CACCACCCCAGCCGGGAGAGGTGCCACGGGGCTGGGGGGGCCCAGCACAGGGGGCAGGGGGCCCAGCCACGACACCCCAGGGTGCTGCGGTGGAGGGGGTGCCGGGCCCACCACCCCTGCACCCCACTGCTCCCGGCAGTGCCGGGGGCCCCTGCCCGGGCAGGCAGCCCCGGGAACCCTCACCCCCCCCGGGCACCCCGCTCAGAGCCACCCCATCAACCGGGACTGGGGGAGCCCCCTCGGCACGGCCACCCCGGGGGGGCTGGGGAGGGCACCAGGCGCTAATTAGTGCTGGGGTTAATTAATGGTCATTCTGCTTGTAGCTTTTTCAGTGTGTGTTTGGTTACTGTCTCTGGGAACCGTGTTTGAACAGACCGCTCAGAGCCACCCCATCAACCGGGACTGGGGGAGCCCCCTCGGCACGGCCACCCCGGGGGGGCTGGGGAGGGCACCAGGCGCTAATTAGTGCTGGGGTTAATTAATGGTCATTCTGCTTGTAGCTTTTTCAGTGTGTGTTTGGTTACTGTCTCTGGGAACCGTGTTTGAACAGATGGCTCTGTGTTACCGGGAGTGTGTGTACTTCTGTAGTCTAGTTAGGTGCTCTGCCAGAAAACCACCACTATACATACCTATAAATATATACATATATAGTCTATTTTAAGTTAAAAACCAATGAGACGAAGGGGCGGCGTGGCCCCAGGCCCCCCCGTCCCGCCAGGGTCACCTCCTGCCCCATCCCCACCTGAAAGCTTCTCTCTGCTCATTCAAAGGCGTTGGGTTTTTAATTGATTTTCTTTAATTTATTTTTAATTTCTTTGGGTTTTAATTTTTTTTTTTGTACAGAAGAGTTGGAAAACTTCAAAAACCAACAAAAAGACAATTTGTAAGATATCGTGCGTGTGACTCCTTGTAAAATATTTTCAAATGGTTTATTACAGAGACTCAGTTATTAAATAATGTTCATATTTTCACTTCACAGGCGGTGGCTGCGTCATTGCCCGGGTACGTGGGCAGGGCCAGGGGGCACGGTGCCCGGGGGGGGCGGGCA